TGTTGCCGTGTGTGGGGGGGGGAGGGGGGTGAATGTATATGTTTGTTATAAACCTAACCCGCTTTTAAAGGCTGGTGAGGCACCTAAAAATCGTGTTTTGGGGTCAAATTTTGCAAATTCGGGTTATTACATATGGTACCTGGCCTTTTCTTGAACAATATCCAGAAACGTATGTAAGCCTTGCTACACCCTAAAGCAGGTTTGTCTGCAAAAACACATGTTTTCCAGCCTTTTCTTACCTTTATCGACTGTTTTCTCTATTTTTTTCACACATTATTCCATTTTCTGCTCTGTTTCTTTTTCAATTTCAATGTAACTTTCACAGGATACCAACTGCACTTAGTTCTAAATATTGGCTAGTTGAATTTTTTATTAATGGAGTAGTTTTTGATTTTTGGGCTTACAAGGCATGAATATTCCATTTTTGTCACTTTTGTTGCAACAACCCCATTGTAAGTGTCATAAAACAAAAACTAAAGCATATATAACAAAAAAATTCAACAAGCCATTTTTAAGAACTACATATTTACTGTTGACATGCCAAATTAAAAGTGAATCAGTTGATAAATAAGGGAATAAAATGGGATTGAAAAAGGTATACAAAATCCAATATTGCCACTGTTTCCATAGCAACCGATTCACACTATACTTTTTGAACTGAACTATTTATTTAAAATCCCCAATAGCCCAAGATTTCCCACAGCAAATATCGGCACTCTAGGCTTTGCAATAGCCAAAATAGACCTCAGGTGACCCACCAGCCCTTAAACAAACTATTAGGTAAGACAACGATCAACACTAAGACCTATCACAGCTGGAACTTTTCTTCTAGCCCAAGCAAAAAGGCGCTCAAGGAGCTTGTTAAATCTATCAGGTTCGAGTTCTTTACGGTGACGAACTTTCTGACCACAAAGAGAAATAAGTGAAGACCTCCTACACAATAGAATGTAAACGTAAAATTCGACAGCGGCTCATAAACTTAATGAAACAATTCATTAGAGCAGAGATGAGAGATGGTGGTCTAAAATCGATAAGAGTAGGGTTCGGCCGCCACCCAGGAAAAATTCAAACTTTCCTACCGACTGAAAATGTTTAATGTGTCCCGCACGCTCATATGACCCTATGCAGTTGCGAGCGCCGTAAAACACTCACCCC